GAGCTGGTTTCACAGAGCAGGGCTCATCCTTTAGCCTCTGGGTGGGGCGGTGGATGGGGCCACCCAGCAGCGGCCCCTCGCCCTCCCCTCTGGACAGACATTCGTAGCTTTGGTCTGCAAGGCATTCCGGGTAGAGGTAGTGGCCGTGTTGGGGATCGACAGCCTGTGCTTGTGACGGCTGATCTAGGTCACCTATAAAGCTATGGTAAGGTTCTGTGCTGGCCATGGACTGGTGGAAGTATCCGTCACCGGCCACCATTGTCTCTTGGGGGATACTCCCGGAAAGTCCTCCGTCTTTGCTGCAGTGCAAGACCTCAAGCCCCGTGCTGTCGTAACTTACATTGACCTTCACATTGTGCATCAACTGTCCCTCTCGCTTGTGGTGGCCGTCGTACGAGCCACCCAGACAAAAACCTCGAGCAATCTCTTCGCTGCAAAACATTCCTTCTGAAAAACAATAACTCTCCTCTTCCTTCAAAGATAAAGCACATTCTCTCACCTTCTTGATGCTGCCCAGGCTGTTCTTGCTCACCGTCTTCAGCGTCGAGTAGTGGTTCACAGACAGCTCTGTACTTCCTGAGTAACATCCCCTGGAGCCCCACGTATCAAGTCCAACTTCATCGGCGACTTTCACGGTCTCGCCGAGGATTCTTCGCCCGTTGTTGTGGTGGTGGTAGCGGTGGTGGTAGTTGTATGGAGCGGGTCTTGCGATTTTGCTTCTGCTGATGGGTCCGCCGCAGAAGCTGGCCAGGTCCAGCTCCCCTGTTGCCAAGGTAACAACCACAGGGCTGGCTTCTGATTGGCCAGTCCCATACGAGCCATAGGGTAACTGGTAGTAAGACTGGGAGCCCATGGCTTGGGCGCCCTTATCACATTTTGAAGATTTCTCCAACTTGTTTGCGGTGGATGTGGACTCGGAGCGGAAGTAGTCCTCGAGCTGAGCCAGCTCCTCCTGCAGCAGAGAGGTCATGACCTCCAGATCCGAGGGCACCTTGACATCTTGTTCTAACGGCGAGGGCGGAAGAGATGAGCTTGGAGAAGACTCGGTCGTAGATACAAATGAAGACAAATCAACTTTTTCCGTCATCCAATCAGAGTGACCATCACCTAGAAAAATTCAAAACCAGAGGAAAGCGTAACGTAACGAGCAAAGCAATCCATTCTATTTTCAAGTGTTTGCAAAAAATGACTGAAATTAAATCTTGAAATTTAGAAAAAAAAAGGAAAAAAATGTGAAATAAGCAAAGGCTGAGAGAGTAAACGGAAAAATAAAATAGTTTAAATTAAGCAATACATCCAACTAACCGATCATCTGAAAATGATTGAACAGCATCGTCTGCATTCGATAAATATCCACTTAGCTGTACTCACTGTACGACATTAGCCCCGTGCTGCACTGCGGCTCCAACCTCGGGATGTGGAAAAATAAAAAATCGTCTTGGCCAAACTCACCAATTAAGTGCTGCCTCTCCACTGGCTCCGCCCCCGTCCGTGGCCGTGATTGGCTGGGGCTAGCCTGTCGGAGAAGGGGAGCGCTGAGCTCGCCTGTGGAAACGGGGGGAATTTTCCTGCGAAGGATCGATGCCGCCATTGTGTCTTCTGCTTCGATCGAATTGTTCAAAAGCACGAACCGTGCGCTGGCTGGATGAAAGAGTTGTGGAAACACCTGAAGACCTGCGGGAGGGAAAAATTAGAACGTTGCATTTTTTATTAGCCTCCAACGGCCCATTTCAAACTTTAAGTAATTAAAAAAAATTTATTTATTATTTTAAAAAGGTAATTACAAAATAAATGCACATTAATTTTTCATCATTTTCAGTTTAATGAATCACCCAGGTTTTCACCTCCAACTTAAAACAGACTTTATTTGAAGTCATTCCTGACTGATGTCAATTTCAATTTAAAACTCTCAGTTTAAAAAAACATTTCAAAATATTAAAATGATTACAAATCTTATTTTTTAACTTTTTCTATAAATAACATAATTTTACAGAATGTAGGCAGAAACATCTGTTGCGCACTTTCAAATGTTTCCAAATCGAATCCATTCAGCGTGTTTACACTGTAACAAGCCAAGTTTGACCAGGTCACTTTACACAGCAACGAAAACGCCCGCAAACAGCGGGAAACAACCACGGGACTCACCGCGCGGCGTAACGCTGGCTGCAAAGTGTCTAAACGTGTTTGTTAAGTAAGAAAAGACGCGTTTCTCCCAACTTTCTTTTACTCCTACGAGGCTAAAAGGCACTTGTACTCACCCCATAGTTTCTGAATGAGTGGTAAAAAGTGCGCTGCGGGAGCAAAGCACACGAAGCTTTAGGCTGACGAGGACGACAGGCACCGTTTAAAAAGCCATCATTTCCCTTTAGGAAATCAGGGAGTCTTCATGAAGCGCTATTTCAACGGACAACACTTGCAGACAGAAAGTTTTTAAATCCGCTACTTCTCCAACTCCTAATGCCCGGACCGCATCACAGCAGATGGGATTAATCCGCACTTCACCGAGTTCACCGGGCCGTTACGTCATGAAGCTGGGGGACTTTCCCGTTATCCAGAGACCGCAGTCCGTTTGTGCGCGAGCTTCACTTTATTTCACTTTAATTCATTCGTTTGTTGTTTCACATTAAATCATTTATAAATTAAAACAAAGTAAATTTTCTTACCATCTCTTGTTAGAAAACATCACGTGTCTGTTGGAGCACTAAACATTCACACCAGCACTTAAATACGTCATCAGATTCTTTCCAACACAAACTGTGCACATGTGAGGCGTTCGTGAGACGGTACAGTAGGCACTAGTTTTCAGCGCGCCGCAGCGGAAGGACACCGTGTTGCAGTTCGAAGGTGTAACTTTAGTTGCAGCCCTGTTGCATCAGATCCGCAGGGGATTCGCTGAGCGCGTTAACAATGTGGCCGCACCATTGGTTTATGAAGGGGAACTTTTCTGCTTCCATTGGCCTGCTATCACTCTTACACTGATTGCTAATCATTGCGCATTAACGGCGACGCGTCACGGCCGTAACTGGAAAGGAAGTGGCCAAGGTGTGGTGAGGAGACGAAGTCTGACCTCCAGCAAAAACTCCCACAAACATTTTTACTCTTTTTTTACGCTGCGTTCTATTCATGTCTGTTAGCTTAGTTAGTTTAAGATACTTTATCGAACTTCTGTTAAAACATCACTACATGGTGAGCAGAAGTGTTAAAGTTTGATACATAATTTGTAGTTTAAAGTAAGAAATATGAAAGATCTGTGTGAGCACTTGTGTTTTGTTTGTTACAGTTTCCACAGAGTTTATCTGCTAAATATTCCAAAGAAAAATAATAATAACTAAATAATAAACATGTAAATTGTGAATTCTGTCAGCTGCTTGAGGTTGAGTGGGAACCCCAACAGTGGAAGGACCTCACAGACAGATTTACAAACTGCACAGAGGTTTGGTGTACTCTTTAACACTAAAGAAAACATTGTGTGAGTAACCTGTTTGCTTACTCATTCCTCATATAACAACAACATCAAATAAGGTTACAAACTAATAGGATCACATTTTGTTTATTATGTTTTCTCTTTCTTGGCAAATGAATGAAACTGACAGTATGTGTTGCACAGAGGTGATGAGCGCGCTCACGGCCATAAGCACACACACAAGAACAATAATAATTATGTGGATTTCATTCCACGAGGTAAACACATCACAGCCGGTTTGAAGCGTTCACGTGTGGGTGAAACCTGAATGGTGCCTAATTAAAGAATAATACAAACTGTCTGCATTGTTTTTTTAAAGGAAACTTTTCAGCATGTTAACGCACCGTTCTCACACAGATCTGTAAAGTCAGCAAGATGCAGAAGTGAAAAGTACTCCTCTGATTTTTTATTCTGCTTAGAGTTGCCTTTGGGCTGGAGCCTCTCCCAAATGACACAGGGCGAAAGGCACAAGACATCCTGGACAGGCTGCCAGTCCATCACAGAGCTAACAACACACACACACACATTCAGTCCTAGGGCCAACTGAGAATCACCAGTTAACCTAACAAGCATGTCATTGGACTGAGCGCAGGGAGAGCAGATGCAGGGAGAACAAGTAAACTCCACACAGGAAGGTCGCAGACAGCTGGCAAACATTATTCATTAGATTTTGTTTTTCTTTTAGTGAAAAAAGAAATGATTTTGGAGTCTTTGTAAATTAGAGAGAGTACGTTATAATGATAATATGTGTTTGGCTTCCTGCACATCGTTACGGAGCATCAGTTGTTGCTGCTGTTTTGCAGTAAAGCTTTCAGGGAGCTTGTTTAAAGACTCAAATATCTGGAAGTAATTCATTCAGTGTAATTAAGTAGTGTTGGCTCTGTTCTACTTACTTCAATATTTTGGGTTTAAAAGACATTTTCTTCCTTTTTGAGTTCATTAAACTTACTATTATTGACCGACTTAACTAAGACTAACTTGTTTAACAAACACAAAGGTTGACGTTCACTTTGTTCTGTGGTTTGTCTCACGTCATGTCAGCGAGTGTGACGCCGGTTGGCTGAGAAGCATTGGTGAAAGTCCTTCATAGCAAAGCAAGACAGTAACCATTGTGTTTTTCATGTTGTGCTATAGTAACACATTATATTCACTGTGAAGTTACTGAGGTTGTGTTTCTTTTACCATCATGTAGCAAATATGGGACGCAGTGAGGTGAGCCTGCAGCTCAAACAAGAATCATGCAAGTCCCGCAAATGTTTCCAAAACACACAAGCAAATTAAAAAGAACGAATCTGAGTACAAATACAATAAAACTTCAGTAATTTCAGCTCATTATTTGTAAGTTTTACTAACTTAATATCACTGAGAGGCGTAAGGACTTTTTTGTACAGCTGCTGTTATTGTGTATATATATTTATATATTTATATTTCTCATACATTCTTATATAGTTCTATATTGTGTATTTTGTTGTACAGTTATTTTATTTTCAACTTTCATTTATATATTTTATCTTATTCTTTCCCAGTTAAATTTACCCTTCATTCTAATTTGTGTTGTACAGTTATTTCATTTTTAACCTTAATTTATATTTTATTCCTTCCTAGTTAAATTTACCCTTTTTAATTTTTCATATTTATTTCCTATCTTATTCATAGCCTTTTCCCTTTGTTTTCTTTAGGTCACGAGCAGTTGTCCAAGCATTTCCCTGCATATCGTACTGTGTATGACTGTGTACGTGACAAATAAAATTTGAATTTGAAAGGAAAAATCAGTGCTGGAACTTTATCAAATATTTATGCCATGAAAATGTTTCACTTTTAGCTTCATCAGTTCACAAAAACTAAGACGGGTCATCAACATGCTGATTACCTGTTTATCTCCACACCTGTTCAAAATCTGATGGAAGAACATTTCGGTTTTTATGTGACCGTGTAAAAGAGACCTGAGGTACACACAGGTGTGGGACAGGAAGCTCGCACAGACACAGAGTGAGAGTAAACGTAGGGGGAGGCCTAGCAGAGGCCAGCGTGTGTGTGTCAGCTGAACACCTTTATTTTGTTGCCTGTGTGCACTGATTGTGACTGTAGTGTTTCTCACTGGTTTTACATTGCAGAGATGACATCACTGAGCTTTGCTGCACGCTTCGTGATGCTGGCGACATGCAGGACTCTGAACAGCGTTTAGAGACAAAACTTGCACCAACATGACAAAATACTTGCACACACTTGAATATGTAACAAGGTCTCCTGAAGCCAAAACATACGTGAACATTTTTGAAGGTGATGTTTTGAAATTGTCACATCAGCGTGTATTTGGCACGTGTAACAGTAACTGTGTGTAACTGTAAGAAGTGTGTGTACATTTGAACAAAGTCATTAACTGTTGTCACTTGGAGTTTGGAGTGATTGTATTTCTCTAGCGCACATGAAGAAAACCTACGAGGTCCTTACAGTCACACTGAACCATATCATTATTTGTCTTTAGTGCCTTTTACACATGCATGCGTGTGCGTGCACACAGACACACACACATTTCTCTCACAGCACAATCTGATTCCTGCTCGACTGGCATCACTGTCAAAGCAACGTCCCTCACAATAGCCTCTTTATTAAATCATGAACTTTAATCAAGTGTAAAACAAAGAAATATTACAACTGCAGTGGAAATGCGAACCACATACTTCTTTAATGTAGCTGACTGTCACCCTCTGTTTGACTGATTAAAACTTATTGATGAAATGAAATATCCTCCTGAAATGTGCATGTGGAAGAGCCTTCTGTGCTGCGAGGACGAAAAGCTTCTCTGTAACATAAATTTTCTGCATTTTTTAAACTGATAACACACAAAATGTCATTAACCAGGAGCAGTGTCTTCAGTCAGTTCATCACAGCCAGTAACAATAATAAAGGTTCAGCCGAATGCAACGCTTAACCGCGACTGTAGTGCAGGTTCAACGCTCCTGCTTTCCTCCGTCCTGACCAATGTTTCATATGTGAAATATGGTTCACGCCTATGTTTATACTAGAGATGTAGATACTGTGATTTACTCATTTTTCACATAAAAATAAATATGTGTTAATTAAGCCAGTAAACACACAGCAGGTTGTATTATACAACACATTTGCAGTATGAAACGTTGCAGCATATTTGAAACACACACTGAAAAAGTGCCAACTCTTAAACTTTGTTTTTTTATTTGGTTGTAATCTCATAAGGACGCATTTGTTCTGAAATCAATCAACCACCTTTTGTCGAGGTGGCTTTGGCTCCAGGGGCGGGGCAGGTCATTTAGTAATCAGGAGGTCGGTGGTTTGATCCCCGGCTGCTTCAGACTGTTACTGAAGTTTCCTTGAGCACTTTGCTGAACCTGGAGTTGCTCCTGATGCAGTCAGTAGATCGTGAATGTTAGACAGAAAACATTCGTGTAGACAGACCCTCTCTAATATTTGCATTACTCACATAATGAAACAAAGACTTTATCCTAGATACATTTGAACAATAACGTAATATAAGACTCTCTCATCTGGAGCATGGATTTTTATTATTATTTTATTTTTCTTCTTCTTTTTATATCAGAACATTTTGTTTTCCAGCTTTTTTATAATAAATGCTCAGTGGTGCTGTTATTGTCCTGGCCGTGCGTGTGAGCAGATGAAGATGTGTAGATGTGATTGTTACATTTTCAGAAGGGTCGGAGGTTTTTTGAACATTGCGTTTAAAGAAAAACGCCGACGATTTCAAAGAATTTGTCTCAGCAATTCAGATTTTTTTCTGAAGTTAATTTTACAGATTTGTGAACCAACAATTTTTAGCTTTGTTTCATGCAACATGCTGTAATGTTGCATGAACGTAATGCTGTGTAATTGCAGATGACAGAAGTACAACATACAAAGCCGACATTTATCGTGGGTTTTGGGTGTTTTTACTTGGGCCTGAGGGAGGAGCAGTTTAGAATAATGATACTGTTGTGTGAGCTGGAAACAGTGTGTAGCTTTGAGATAAAACTGTTCGGTGATTATTGTTGGGTTCTGCCAGA